AAGCGCGTCCATGCTCACAGGTGTACACACGGGTGATCACACCCACAAACTACACCCTTTTTGGCTCCTACCTCAAAGCACACTGTGTTCTGTTGATCTTATGTGCTGCACAATAATGTTTAATATTTAGTATTTACTGTCATATTCCCATATATCATTGTGATGTTGTTTATTCTATTACTCTTGTTCTCTTCTGCTTGTTTTCTTTTTTCTTTCTCAGCAGGTGATCCAGGTGATTGATATATGCATTTTTTTTTCTTTTTTTTTTCTGCCCGTTCTGTTGGTTTTTGTCTTTTGCCCTTCTCCCCCGTCCCTCTTCTCAGCTGTTTCTCTTTCCCTCTTTCTTTCTCCCCTTCTTTCCCCCAGTCAAGTCTGTCCCGTATTCAGTAAGTGAAAATAAAATAAACAATAAAAGGTGAATCAAATGGACCATTACGGCAAGGCTGGGATGGTCAATTTGGTAAAGTAAATCCGTTGGGCATCTTTCTTTGCCTTTAGACAAAATTCTGATGGCAAAAGAGCCAAACGGGACAGGCAAAAAAACAAAAAAAAAAAAAAAAAGATTTATTGATCTCTATTTATCTAGTAGACGTAAAACGACAGGAGTTGCTCCAAAGTGTTTTCTAGTTAAGCCAGATGTGTTCATCCATGTCTCAGAAAACTGACATGAAAAATATTAGGTCCAGGTCGGAAAAATTAGGACAATGCAGGAGTGCATAAAAACTCAATATGAAGGTACCAGATGGCAATAATTCTGGCTGGAAAAAGATGTTCAGTCATAAAGCAGTGGTAAAATGTCTGATTTGACTACTGTTAACACTTTCCTGTTGAGTTTATGAGTTGTCAAACACAAGTAATTAGCCAAAGACTTTATTCATTTTGTTTTGTTTCATTTTAGTAAGAAGTCTAGCTGCTGCAGGCCAGGTGTCTCCCCTGCTGGTTGTTTAAAAAAAGAAAGATTTAGGGTACTCCTGCTCGGCTTCATGTTTCAGACGCAGAAGCCATGATAATCTTTTATACTTTCCATGATTCACACTTTGCTGCAGCTAACTACCATGTAAGATCCTTTCTTGTTTCCTTTCACTGTTTGTCTTTAAACACTTTGAAACGCGGACACAAGGATTTGTGGTTGACCAGCTTTCCCACCTGAAAACACAGCAAACAATAATACAATAAGACAAAGGAAACCAATTTATGAGCATTATATGTGTAATTACAACATTCACAGTACAAAACATAAAAAGGTTTGGTGCATAACTTGTTGGACAAAGGGACAGTTTTTGTCAATTTGCCTTTAGACACCACTAAAGGTGATCTTAAATCAGCTTTGATTCATAAAGTTTTTATTTTAAAAAATGTATTAAAGCATTAAAATATTAGAATTAAGGTAAGTAAAAAAGGCTGTCACATGAAAAAAATGAGATAAACCTGTCAGAGAGACAGAGAGCAAGAACTAGGACTACTAGGAGTAGCCAAAATAAATGAATGGGCCGGTCAGCTCAGCAACCCCAAAAGACCTGAAAGACCACAGAATCAAGAGACGCCTTCATGAATGGAATTACTGAGTATTTACGGTGAGGTCCAAACCAGTTGTTAAACTCAAGAACTGGAAGGCCAAATTACAGAAGAGTCTGCACAGTTCAGAAATAAAACGAAACAACAACAAAAACTTTGGACAAATGAAAAAAAAAGAGAATCTTTATCAGAATGATGGAGATAAAAAAGTACAGTATGAAGAAGAAGAAAAAAAGCTCATGATCTGAAACATGCCACATATAGGCAATGTTATGGCATAGGCATATAAGGCTGCCAGTAGAACCAGGTCACTAGTGTTTTACTGGTGATGCAACTGCTGATAGGAGTAGCAGAATGAATTCACAGGGCTGTACTGCTCAGATCCAGCCAAATGCTACAAAACTGACCAGACAGCTCTGCACAATGCAAATAGGGAAAGACCCAAAGTATACTCAAAAAACAACCCAGGAATCAAGGTAACATATCTCAACCCAACTGAGCATGCTTTTTAGTTATTAAATACAGATTAAATCCACAAAGAACTACAAACAAGCAGCAGCTGAAGGTTACTGCAGTAAAAGCTGAGCAGAGCATCTCAACGAACAGAGCATTTTATCATGTCAGTGGTTCTAGACTTCAGACTTCTGACTGCAGCGTTCAAAACAATGCTCATATGTAAAATGTTGTCTGTCCAGTTAACCTTGAGCCTCTGAAAATGGGGGAACTATATATAAAAATGGGTGTGATACTTAAACAGGTAATGCAAGATTTTTTATATAAAATGTTTTAATGATGAAAATCTGCACTTCAATCACATATTGGTTGTTCACTTTAAAATCCACTGTGGTGGTGCACAGAGGCAAAATTACAAAAATTGTCTTTGTCTAACAATTGTGGCCTTAACTGTAAAAGATGTGTGCAGGACCTAATGTCTTGTTGGTCAGTACAGCTGCACCGTGAGAAAAATGTATCACTGACCAGAGGGAAGAATGCAAAACATGTTAGATATGAAACAGATCTTAAGTCTGTCAGTAAGATCTTTCTCCCACAGACAGATTGTCTCACATTAATCACACACACACACACACACACACTTATGAGTCTGGCTCATCCTGTTGTTTTTAACACAGGGAACTCCCCATTGTCTTCCTTGAAGCATATTATTTGTACGCGTCGCTCTTGTTGACAAAGGAGGTCGATATATGGTTATTAATAGCAGGCTCGCTTTATGGAAAAGGGAAGCGTGAGGTCTTTGGATTCCACCATCTGCATTAAACAATACCTCATTCAGCAGCAGCTGGCAAAGGGACATAGACATTTACTGATGTTAAGGCAGAACATTGGTGGAAATGAGGATTTTCTCTTTTTTTTCTTTCTTTTTTTTTGGCCACTTCCTATTGGACACCATTAAGTGCAGCTGCGAGCGGTTTCAGATCTGTGACAGGGAATAATCCCAGCATGAGAAATAAATAGCTTATACAAAAACATGCTACTCCACATTTCTTAAATATCTCTGCGCTGCAGATGTGCTAATATTCCTGTGCTGGATTAAGAAAAGCGTCATAACCAAGCTCAAGGGAGTCTTAAAGTTCATGCAAACTATGTGTTATAAGGAAATAGTGCAGTCATAAAAGTCAGTGACAAAAACTTGTAAGATTCATCGAAGTTGTGATTCTCTGAAGGTTTAATTGCTGGTGTAAATGTGAGTGAGTGAATGTATGGTGTGTGTGTGTGTGTCTGATTCTGCCTCTTAGTCCTGTTGTTAAAGGGTGTTGCACGCCACAGTAAATCCCAGAGGTTGTTAGCACGCCCAGCTGCTTGTGCAGGTCTCCATGTTTCTGTCAGCGAGGTTGTTCACTGCAAACTCTTTCGCCTCTGATTGAGGAAATCCTCTGACTGTTTGCTCTGTTTGCTGAAATGAAACATCCCAATGGTTCCGCCATCTCTCCCACAGGCCCTGTACACAGAGACTTTCCCATGAAGACCACGCATGTTTACTAGGGTTTGACAGATATATAGCTCTTTGATGGGCCATAACAGTACCGGTGATCCTGTGCTAGCAGGGGGTCACGTTATAGACTGATCTAATACCCTGTTTTAATTTATTCCACGATAACATTGTTCCTGAAACAGTAATTAAGAAAGAGAAAGACACTTAAAACCAATCATATTATTCTTAGTTCAATTCATTTTATTGTCCAACAGGAGGGAAAACACTGAAACATAAACACAATAAAACACAGCAGGACAACCGAATACATATTACAAAACAAGGTTTATATGTAAAAACAACAAAAATTATTAAATACATTGTATTTTGAAAACTTGCACCTAAAAAACAGCCATTAACTTATGCAGTTATGAGGTTATTTAGTGATTTTAAATGGTCTGCCTCACTGTTTTAGCCATGTGACAGGCTGGCAAATTGTCCAGGGTGTATTCTGCCTCTTGCCTTATGGTTGTCTCTAGCATGAAAATATGCAACAAATATTTCACAATTCTAGGTCCTAAAATCAAGAAAATAATCATTATATTAATTCTACATGAATTGTGTTTTAAACACAGTTTTTAGAACCAAATGTGACTGCTTCATTGTCTTTTAAGACTGTAATTTTGACCACAATTTATGAAATTAGTCCTATGTTGTGCTCAGTAGGACTTGAAACTAGCAAATGAGACCATAAACTCATCAGAAAGGTATTCACTGAGGTCAAGATGAAGTGAGCAAGGTCCATTTTCCTGTAGATGTTCTGTACAGTATTCATTTATTGCCTCCTTCGTGATCGGCCGTTGCGATCTCTCCGCCCCCGCCTCCCTTTCCTCACCCGTCTGCCGTGAGTCCCGCCTCGCCGCTGACATTAGTAGGAATGAAGTTCCTACAGCCATTCTAGTGTAGCTAAGGTTGTCTGCTCCAAAGTGATTAACAAAGGTAAAATATGAAACTAAAAAACTCTGCAGTTTGTCATGTTTTCAGCTTCCTTTTGCAGCCTCTAAATAGGAAAAAAGAATCATTCTGTATAATTCTTTCATTTAGTCAAGTTGCCTTTATTTATATAAAGTTTCATAGGTGCAACATGACAGAAGTTGATCCTCTGTCCTTTCCACGTGAAGAAAATCATCAGGGATCATATGACAAAAAGAACAAATTAAAATCAGTGATAAAATTAAACATATGTCATGATAACCACAAATTTAACAGCAAGTATGGGATAACAAAAACAGGATAAACTAGGAAAACATACCAACAAGAAAAAATCACAAGGAATAAGCAATAAAACCAAACTTAAAAGGGAAGATAGTGAAATAGTGGGACAGAATTTATTGCGGGAAACTGAGAAAATGTATCTACATGAACACAAACACTTCCTCTAAACATCCAATAATGAACGCTTCCACGTGGTGGGGAAGATTTTTTTTCCCCTCCCATTTGATCTGGATAATGTTTTGTTTTGTTTTGGTCAGTTCATTTGAAACTGACTGAAATAAATCCTGTCTTTGTGAGGCACAACACGCTGCAGAGATGCATCATGCTGCCTGTTCAATTGTTTATTTAAGGAAGCAAAAACCCCTCAAGTCTGTGCTGCTGGATTCTCACCTCAAGCCCTGGGCTTTGGCAGCCTGCTGACTCCTAAAGCTTGATTGTCCGAGCCTGAAACAGAACAGAGCAGTGTTAAGACGGTGTGCATTGTTCCCTAATTTCTTCTCTGGGATTTCCTTTTACCAGCTCTCCCCGCCCACCCTTCACTCTCCATCATCCTCCCTCTCCTTCTGAAGGCCTTGCCAAGTTGTCTGGCACATGAAAACAATTGTTCTTGCATGTTTGAGGAGACACAACTGTCTCCTTGCATTGGCGAGCTTCTCCCCCGCCGAAGCTCAGCTGACGGTCAAACAGACAGACTTCCTCTACCTCCTCTTCCTCCTTTTTGGGAAAGCGTTCATGTTCAGTAAAATCAGAAGAAAGGTATCTCAGCCTGGAACCACTAAGTGACTCACAACTATCAATATCTTTGACATGCAGGTGGAGCCAGGGGCCATCTCTCCAGCCAGCGAGTGTTTGAAACATGCTGAAGCAGACTCTGAGAGCAAAAGCCATTAAAATATTACCATGTGCAGGTTTATGTCTAACAACAGCTCTCTGGCAAGACTACAAAATGATGAAGCTAAGCACCCATGTGGGAATCAGTCCTGGGCTCCCAGATGATGCTGAAAAATGCTTTACATCCTTCCTGTTTCTGGATCATCTATTTTAACTTTTTTCTATTTTATGTTAGTGAGGCAAGGACAGGAACACTTTGAGCTGCCGGAACCGTGATTTGTGTCTCATTTGCAAAGGTGTTTTCATAGACCGAGCTCAGTTGTACTCATTAAATTGTGCTTCCAAAATGTGCCACTTCCTCTTCTTAAGTAACTGTCAATCACCAAGAAGAACAACGAGATCTAAAATGACACCAGTTTTTCTCTACTTTTATTCATGAATAACTCTGTACCATAAATCTGTAGTGTACAATAAAGCGCTGAGCTTCTCAATGAGAATTACAAAGAAACACATTGTACACACAGTGCAGTTGGAGCTTTGCATTTTATTGCACAATTAAACATTATTGTAGCATCTCATACCCAAGTCATGCAACACTTATTTGGGGAAGTCCAAAACGCTTTCGCTTGAAAGTTTGGAAAAATAAGCAATGAGCAATATGTGAAAAATCCAGTATCCAGTTGGCTATACATACAAAAAAAGAGAAGAAAAATATAAAACCTTCCTTTGATGAAGATACATGATACAGCAGAAATAATTTACCTAATTTAGTAGAAAATGCTCTGTTTCTAGTAGTTTTAGGTAAGACAGCAGAGCTCCATCTATTATCGTCATGTCACAGAACATAAAACTGGCAGGAGGAGGTGGAACTGCCGTCTGGCTTCATTTAAGCTCCGCTAAAATTCTCTGCTGGGACTGGGATGTCCGAGGAGGAGGAAAAACTTACCAAAGTGAAGCGGTAAACCTTTGCAGTGATCTCCAGGTGGATCCTCTGGACGCTCGCCTGTCAGACATGTTAAACAGATCCAGACTGATTTTTACTGACTTTACTTGGGTTCTTTGTTCCCTCCTGTCACCCATTTCTTTGCCCTTCTCGATCATCTCCGCCATGTTTTTTTTAATCTTTCATCTTAGTAAAAACTAAAAAATTGTTGATTTGATTGAACACTCAGTATTTTGTTCGCTCACTCTGAAAAGCATCACTAGAGATCCGTACATCTGGGTCCCAGTGCCGGATGATGTCAAGACTGGCGATGACCCAAAGCCCCGCCGCACAGAGAGTTCCTCAGAGAGGTCGGCTGCGTGTTGTTTTCCCTTCCTCTGCCTACGTGACATCTTCCTGCCGGGGGGAGCCTCAGGGAGCCATCTGAGGAGGCCTGGTCCCTGGGTGAGGAGGACAAATTCGACTTATCCTGACAGAGCAGGTGGGGGAGGGACGGCAAAGGAAACTCAGACCCCCAGCATGCACCTTTAGCTGCCTTAAAATTAACTTTCCATACAGCCTCCTGTTTCACCAGGGAGCTTTCTTCTGTCATTCAGAGGACTGAGTTTGCAGTCTTATTCAAAGAGATGCCAGAAGGGAACTTGGGCTCAGCTGTGTGTCGCTGAGCTGCAATCTGCCTGTTACAGCTTTCATTACAGATCTGGAGAAGAAGCCCACAGAGACTGGGCGGCTTTTGCTTTGCAGCATTATGAAATACAGACACATGGCAAATTAAAGGAAAAAGTTGAACCCTTGACCCCTACAGGTAGGGGATCTTTTTTGTGCTGTGGGGAGCATTTCACAGCCACTATTTGGGTCTGGTTGTATTTTGAGTTATTAGTTAGTTAGTTAGTTAGTTAGTTAGTTAGTTAGTTAGTTAGTAGTTAGTGTGTGTAAGTTAGTTAAGTCCAGGGGATCATACTGGTTTAGATAAAGTTATTGAAGGCCACGCATTGGACAAATTAATCAAACAATGTTTATAGGAAATAAAAGCACTGCAAACATAAATCAAACTAAATACTTAATAGCATTTAAACTACTCTTCATCTTGCCAGTTATCTGATGTGCATGTATGTGTCTTAGAGAAAAGCTGCACTACAAATCAAGTTACAGTTCTGAATTATCACCTTTATCCATTTAAAGCCTGTTTATCCTCATGGAAAGGTGTCCTTTGGGAGGATAATGCCCCCTCCACTGGAGTATTATGATATCTACTGGAATGCTTGAAAAAGGATAATGTGATAGATATGTGATTGATATTGGCATAGCTATGGAGATTGTGGACGAACATGTTAGACAGTGCTCTCCAACATCATCACCATCATCATAATCATCATCATCCTCAAAATGTCAAATGAGGGAAAATCTTTTGGAAGACTGGTCTTACTTCCCTCCAGTAGATTTTCAGGGGCTCAGAGAACAAGTGCCAAGGGACACTGAGCTTTTCTGACAGCATGTGGTGCCTGAACACTTTACTGGGACATTTTATGATAGCATTTACTTTATCTGCATTTGTCAGTGAAAGCTATCTGAATTTGCCATGTGCTACAGAAACCAGAGTGCACGAAAAGATGGCAAACACAAGAAAAAGTTCTCTTTTGCAGCTGAAAATAAATAAAACAGTAATCATTTGTCATGCTGATAGCGATGTGAGAACCTGAATATCAAATACAGCGATGTTTCCTACTAATAAGAAATGACATGATAAAAAGATACACATCTTGAAAATCTGCTCTGAGATTAAATTTGCATCATTTGCAGTCACTAAGTGTCACTTAGCTTTCACTTCAATACTACACTGTGACCTCTGACCTCTCACCCCATCTCCCTGTCTTTTGGGCCCACAGCAGTGATTTATCCCTCTGACATACCAACAGCTGTGTTGGGGGCTCTGAACAGAGTGTGGGCTACTATTTGCCGTGACTAATCGATAACAGACTTCAAAAAAACACCAATCATGAGTTTTGGGAAAAACACACCACTCAGTGACACTGGAAACCCCGAACCTTTTGCCGTGGGTCTGCAAGGCTTCATAAACAACACACTGGCACCATCACTGTAAACAGTGGAAATGTTTGTATGTCTGACATCTTTCAGCAAAGACATAAAAAAACATTTATACCTCCAAATTTGCTATTAGAGTCAATGTTTTCAAATGTTTATTAGAAAAGAGCAGCAATTTTGCAAACTGCAGCTGCTTATTGTATATTGGAAGTACTCTTTTTTTTTTTTTTTTTAAAGTGGGTGGTGAAATAGAAGACCTCAACAGATTGTTGGTCTCAGATATATACACTCCATTAATCTCCTCTTTAGTGCAGGAAATCTGAACTACATTATGATATGATTCAAATCGTTTTGTTTGTGTCAAATGTGTTGTGTTTTTTTTTTTTTTTCTTTTAAAGACGCGG